GTACAATTAACTTTACTACAAAGGTTCCTACTAAGTTCCAACACAAAGATAATTTTGTTTCCAGAAAATTCTCAGAACGATTGCAGGTTTCTGGTCGAATATTTAACTGATATTCAGCAATGTTTCCCGATCTTTTCTGGTGTTGAACTTAGTTTTAATGATCCCATGTATATATATAAAATCACAAGACTCTAGTCCAATGGTGTGGAAACCATTCCAAGGAGGCTGTGTGACCTATACAATAGAAACTCGCCGTGATAACAGGCGAGTCCATACGTGCTCAAGTGCTGTAACTTACCAATCTTATCGGAAGAGTACTGTACGGTTCCGTATTCCAAGGGATTAGAGATATTTAAAGTATCCTAATCGTTTCTATCGCAATAGCTAGAGATACATAATGACGTTTATAAATATCCTTCCAGGACTTAAAATGAATAACTTCATATTCTCCAGAAGTGAAAGACATGCTTTTTATTACAGTTCCTTTCGTTCGATGACCGATACGAAATTACAAATACTCTAATTGTAACGTTTATTTTTGTCGTTTTTTTTTTCGGATATTCCCGCACAGCCACACAAAAGGTATCTGCGCTAGCCGTCCAAAATTTTCAACTGAGAGACTGTACAGACGAAAGGCAGCTAATCAACAGCACCCACCGCCAAGTCTTGAACTACTTTTGTTTGACCTAATAGTAGGACTTGATTGTCACCCTTATAACGCGCCTACGGCTTTAAGAGTGCTGAGCGAGATGATTTTTTTTTACTGTATCGGTAAAAGGATGCGAAAGTTGGACCCGCAGTCCACAAGCTGATCATTGGATCGCGTTCAGTCCAGTTCTTCTGTAAAGCAGGAAGAGGGGAAAAGGTACTGATTAACAATCGATGTGTTCGAAGGAAAACGAAGTTTGATAATGAACAATATTATGACACTTATGATATACAACATTGTTTATTAACAAAAAGGGGACATTGATAAACGTTTCTGAATTCTATCAGATTCCATCTTCAGCATCTAAAGCAAAATAAAATGAATTTACATAAGTCTTTGGACATTGTTAAAGTACGATTGCTAAATATAACGATAATTAAACAAATAAAACACAAAACAGTAATCATGGGGAGAAACTACAGCAAGAAAACACAACAACAAAAAAGTAAAATCAGTAATACGAACATATTAAAAAATGTATAATTTAAATGAAGACTGCATGTTGTTCAGTGTTGGAGAGTGCTGCTTGATGTGGTGGGTTTCTTTAATCAATAATTCCAGGTCAGTATTAGACTTGCAGAGGATAGAAAAATTTGATAGCATAGGTTGATGTCCTGTTTCTTCACTATGTTGGCGTATAGAGGAAACACAGGGGTTACTCAATTTTTTTTGCGTTTTGATGGAAATTCCCATATTTAGTACTGATTAATGTTCTAATTTTAATGGGTTCCAAGTTAAGTACAATGTTTTCCTCTAGTCCAGGTTTATGTTATTAGTTCAAAAGTACGAATTGACGAGTGATAGTGTCGTATGGTTCATTACCCCATAAAGCCTAATATAACTTTATAAAAACAAAATAGAAATTATTATTTCTTTTGATCTTGACACAGATCTGGTTTTGTACGATAGGCGAAAAATGATTTCTCGAATTCTAAGCACAGCCGACTATTAAGCTATAAATTTGCACAACTTTTGATTGGAATTTCCTGAAGAAAAACACCCATCATTTACTTCGGTGCGTATTTGGTGATATGAATTATAAACATCTTAAAGTTGTTGTTTTTTTTTTTAAATCCGATACCTTAAAGGTTTTGTATAACCAGACAAGTTTACTATAATTTATGTCTCTATCTATTTGCTATGTACTAAGCTTGACCTTATATACTGTTCTAATATCTGTCTAATCTTGAAAGAAAGGGTTAACCAAAAATAGAGGAAAATTTCTCCATGTTTATTTTTTAAGAAAAATGCATCATAATGTTACACGTAAGAAAGGACTGAGCTGATTTAACGCAAACACAACAGATATACAATGTTTGTGTAGCCCATTAATATGCTAGCAGTATAAAATAAACTAATTCTACAGTTTGTGTAACTTAATCTATGTGTTCTCATAAAAAATAAACCGTATGCAGCAGTTTTCCTGCTCTGTAACATTATGTCATTTTGTTTACACAGCACCTGAAATGTCAACGACCTCGTGAATAACACCTAAACCTGCATCATTTTGCTGAGACACCCTTAATATTCTGTTAAATTAACAGGGACCTGGTGTGATCTAGATGTTGGCATCCTAGGACTGTGAATCCGAGAGTTCGTGGTTCCAGTCTATATATAGCTGCCATTTTTATACATAGCACATGAAATGTCAGTGACCTCACGAAGGTCACTTAAACCAGCAACATTTTCCTGAGATACACTGCCAAATTAAAGATGAACATGGCATGACCTAAATGTTAGCTCGGACTGTGAATCCAATGGTTTATGGGTCGCGGCCCACTGCTGAAAACAAAAACAAAACGCGCTCCGTATACTTTGGAGCCGTACGGAAAATATTAGAATTAAATCTCACTACTTATTCAGGAAAAAAGAAGCTCAAGAGTTGGCGGTGGGTGCTGTTCACCAGCAACCTTCTTTCTGGTATCAATTAAAAACTAAGGACGGCTATACGCAGATAAATACTTATCACTGGAGCATACAAAAGTATAAGATCTAGTAACTCGAGTCAAAATATGAATTTGTATTCTGAAGTTAAAAATAAGTAACAAAGCTATTTAACATTATTATGCCTCTCTCTGTATTTTTTTTTTTATAACTGGATGGATGATAACGTTTGTTTTCGATTGTTTCTACTTACACTTAATTCCAATGTATTAGGACTTCATACTACAGTTGGTTCTTCTGTTCTTTGTTAATCAAGCTGTGCATCATATAGCATTATGTCATAGGTTCAGTTATTTTATTATATGTTACTAACTTCAGTGATTTATACCGCTGCTCTTACTTCCCTGTTTAATGTCTCATTATCGATTATGCATTTTGGCCTCTTCTTAAGGTTAAATTTTATTTATTCCTTCCGGCTGTCCGCTTTCTATTGAAAATGACCATGAGTGCAAGGAGTAAGTGTGGCCTTAGCGTCGGATTGTTCATAGACACAACTCGTAAAATATTCGGCTACCTGTTCTTTTTTTTTTATTGATTTACTTGGATTGTTTCTAAGTATAGTGTTAATAGTTTTACTATATATTAAATACTTTGATATTCGTTTTACTATGTTTAAATACATAAACATTAGTAGTATTAAATCAAAAACGATTTGTAAGCATGGTCATATTTATTGTAGAAAATATACTATTAGGTCGTCAAGAAATTAATGTCGCGTTTGGGAACACTTAACCACCCCTCAATAAACGTACATCACGTATAATAATTAAACGTCACGTTAGTGTAGCCTATATAATGTGTAAATTTTAGTACACTCTAATCCCTTATAGTGATGGCACACGACGAGACACACATTCGCATGTAATGCTGATTGAATACAAGGGAAGCAATGCCTCTGTGGCCACAAAGAATATCAAATAATTTTATGGAAATATTTTGAACATTCGTAAGTGTCAACGATGGTTCAGCAAATTTCGTTCAAGTAACTTTAGCCTTAAAAATTGTGATGGCAGGGGCCAACATGTTGGAATTGATATTGATACTCTGAAGACGCTTGTCGAGTCTAACCCAAAGCAACACACTAGTGAAATGGCCCTGAAATTTCATGTCTGTCATGAAACAATACGTAAGCATCTAAGGAATATGGGAAAACTCTATAAAGAAGGTGTATGGGTGCCTCACGAACTCTACAATGATCATCGTTTCCAACGTAATGCGCGTGAATCATTTTTGGATAGAATTGTCACCGGTGATGAAAAATGTATTCTCTATGTTAATATCAAACGCCAAAAACAATGGCTCAGTCCTAGACAAAAACCACTTCCACTCCCAAAACCTGGACTCCATCCGCAGAAAGTGATGCTTTGCATTTGGTGGGACATCAAAGGAGCAATTCATTTCGAACTCCTCAATCCACAGCGAATTGTCAATGCAGAGATCTAAAGTTAGCAACTGGAGCATTTAAATCAAGCCCTTCATCAGAAACGCCCTTCACTCATTAATCGGAAAGATGTTCTTCTTCTTCTCCACGACAACGTACGTCTACATGTAGCAAGTTTGATGCAACACAAGATTATGAAGTTGGGTTGGGAAGTTCTCCCCCACCCACCATATTCTCCAGATATGGAACCATCAGATTACCATTTTTTTCGTTCGCTGCAACACCATTATAATGTGAAAACGTATGCAAATGTGGAAGGTGTTAAAGAGGGCATCGACATGTTTCTTGTTTCAAAACCAAGTGGAATATTTAATCAGGACATCGACAACCTGATTGTAGGATGGAAAAGCATCATCGATAAGAATGGAGACTATTTCGTTTAATAAACGTTTTGTTATGATATATAAGTTGTTCAGGTTTTTTCATCTAAAAAGAAAAAAAGCTACATTAATTTCTTGATGACCTAATGCACGTTTCAGTGTTTTTCGTGTTTAGTACTTTTATATGTTTAATGTGTGTATATTTAGTCAATTATGTTTCATTATTTTTACATTTATGAGGATTGCTTTGCATTGCCAGTTTCCTATATGGATTTAGAAATAACTTACTTTTCCTAAGTTGATCGAACTCCGTGAGATATTATTAGGATTCTAATTGAAAATAATTAATAACAACATGGTTACCCAGTTGGTGAATCAATGCATTTTAATCATTTTGGGATTTTGTTTTATGCCAGTGCATACTTTTTATGAGACTGGTATGTTAAATTATCTACATTAGTTCTCAATATATTATCAGCTGATATAGATGAGAAGTTATTGATAATTTTGTTTCAATTATGTATATGCTTGAAACAATATTTAGTTGTTAAAATATATTACAAAATACACACAAAGATATTTCCAGAAACTAAGTCACTTTTATTCAAAAAGAACCATACATTCAGTGACAAAAGCTAAAGAAATGCAGCTGATTAACACAGAATTTGGCAGCATAAGGAACCAACTAGTGATAATTAAGCCAGCCCAAAGATCCTGATTAATTTCAACAAAAAGAAATCTGTTCTTAAAGCTCGTGTTAGACATTTAAATCATCGCTTCCAAAGTTCCTGATATATATGACCAAACTACAAGTCTGTTTTATTTACAGACAGTTTATATACACACACACATATATAACATGTGAATGATAAAAGCTGCCTCACTCCTTTCAGTATTTGTACAGCAATTGTTAAAGAGTATTATTAAAGTAAAAATTATCAAGAGTACTTAAGACTATACATAATGGGGGAAAGTTTACACTGCTATCTTTAAAAACGTCATTGAATAATCCCCCGTTTTGTTTCACATGGAACATTAAACCACAATAATAAACAAGGTTTACAATTACTAAAAGATATAAGTAACTTGAGAATTTTTAAACTTAAGTAACATGTAAATATATATACAGAAAAAATAAATAGAAACAACTTTTTAGCTATGACACATAAGAACTAACACAAAATATCTAGAATAAAACTTTTATCCCACATCAGAACTTCATTTCAATCTATTCAATGGAAAATTAATGTAATTTTAACATTGTTTCTCTATAATATTTTTGCTATAAATTTTTTTTAAACAAAATAAAAACATTATTTTATTTTATACCAGTGTACACATAATGGAAGCCAACTAAAATACAGGGAAGTTTTTATAGTTTGTCACAAAGGGGATAACATCCAAATATATAAGCTTCCCAGTCAAAGCTCTGTCAAACTTTCCAATCGATTTCTGAGATTATAATAGTTGGGTTTTTAAGTTACAGCAAAATGATAAATACATACAAATTTGACACAGCACAAGTATTTTCATAACACTGAGCATATATAAACTTCCGTTAGCTCAACTTCAATAAGATTTTATAAATCATATGTCTATCAATGAATTATTTTCTCTGTATAACTTATTAAGTTCCATCAAGAGTATGTTTATGTCTATCAAACCATCAGTTATGACCACCAGACCATGTGGATGGTAATCAATTATGTTAGCTTAAGATATATGACAATAACTAACAAGCCATACCTTTCAACCATTATGACCTTGGGATACTGTACATAGTGCTTTACATAGGGAAGCTTTTTTTTTATAGTTTGTCACAGAAACAATAATACACAAACAAGATTCCCAGTCAAAGCTCTCTGTCACAGCTTCCAATAGAGAAAGACTTTTGAGATTAAAATAAGTACTTATAAGCAATTCCAACCATCAGACTTTAAGGGATTTTTCCAAGTAAGCATAAGAATTATGACAATCTTTACCACACCTAACCTTATAAACGTGTTGACAACAGAATATTTAATAAAGCAAACAAAAACTTCAATCAACAATGTCTAATCAAACCTTATCTTCCACGAATCCAAATCTTCAAATATTTGACCAAACAGGATTCAATCCACAGTATTTATCATCTTATCTTCCACAAATCCAGATCTTTAAATATTTCACCATATAGGCTTCAATCAACAGCATCTATCACACCTTATCTTCAAATATTTGACCAAACAGACTTCAATCAACAGTATTTAGCACACCTTGTCTTCCATGAATCCAAATCTTCAAATATTTTCCCAAACAGGCTTCAATCAACAGCATCTATCACCTTATCTTCATGAATCCAAGTCTTCAAATATTTGACCAAATAGACTTCAATCAACAGCATCTATCACCTTATCTTCATGAATCCAAGTCTTCAAATATTTGACCAAATAGGCTTCAATAAACAGCATCTATCACACCTTATCTTCATGAATCCAAGTCTTCAAATATTTGACCAAACAGGTTTCAATCAACAGTATCTATAACACCAAGTCTTCAAATATTTGAACAAACAGGCTTCAATCAACAGCATTTATCACACCTTGTCTTCATGAATCCAAGTCTTCAAATATTTGACCAAACAGGCTTCAATCAACAGCATCTATCACACCTTATCTTCATGAATCCAAGTCTTCAAATATTTTCCCAAACAGGCTTCAATCAACAGCATCTATCACCTTATCTTCATGAATCCAAGTCTTCAAATATTGGAACAAACAGGCTTCAATCAACAGCATCTATCACCTTATCTTCATGAATCCAAATCTTCAAATATTTTCCCAAACAGGCTTCAATCAACAGCATCTATCACCTTATCTTCATGAATCCAAATCTTCAAATACTTGACCAAACAGGCTTCCATCAACAGCATCTATCACCTTATCTTCTACAAATCCAGATCTAGAAATATTTTACCAAATAGGCTTCTACCACACCTTATCTTTCAAGCATCCAGATATTTACATATTTTACCAAGTAAGCTTCAATTAATAGTCTCTACCACACTTTATCTTGCAAACACCTACATCTCATAATATTTTATCAAGTAAACATCGGAGATATAATTAGACATACTACATGTTATCTTCCAAATGTCAAAGCTTTGTGATATTTTTTCCTAATTAGCTTCTACTCACAAAAGATTTAAAAAGATATATATGAAGAAAACATGCTTGACTTTTTCAGATATATTGTTTATCCTGTATGTGTGTGCAACATTGCTGAAGAAGAGAGAGATGCAGTAAAATTTAATTATAATTTATAATGTAGGGTTCCTAAGCTACACAGTGGCATGTAGTTGCCCTATACAGTTCACATAGTTTTGTGTATTATACAACACAGCCTACAACATGCTACTGGTTCCTCTCACCCATTGGACTCTGTCTCTAACATAGCATCTAGCTGATTGGACAAGTTTGCTAACATGCTTTCTATGTCATCAATCACATCTCCTGACTGGTCACCCACTTCGTCTCTGCAGTTTGAAAAATAGAACAGAAATAAAAACACAAAATTGATGAATTAAATGAAGTACTAAAACTAAATTTTTTACAATAAAAAATTTTCAAGATAGTAATAGTTTTGAAATATACTTCACAATCAGCCATATTATACTTACAAAAACAGAACTATGTTAAGGATGCAGTAAGTACATACCCTTGAGCATCAGAATTATGTGTATTTCTGCATGTTGGTGAATCAAATGTTATTTTGTCTGCCCTTTTAACTGGAGTTGATTTAACTGAATCTGCAAAAAAAAGAATCAACCTCACTGAAGAAGATTCTAAATTTGCACATTTAAAAATGTCTATGTAAATAAAAAATATGATTAAAAGTATTGTTGCATGACTTGAAATAACAGGCTCTTTTAAAAAATAATTGATTTTTTTTTTTGCTTGAAAGACTTTTCTGGGATCACTGAGGCTAAAAATATATCACTGGAAAGGGTGGAAGAGTTTGAATGATTAACAACTTTAGAAATGGTATTAATCATCCATTTTACATGTTTGTTTGTTAAATGAAACAATAATTATTTAAACATACAGTATTAAACATGTACACCATAATGACTTGGACAAAGAAAGAAAACATCTGTCGCACATGATTTAATATGATATATGGTGTTGGGTCACCTAAAGCTGCCAGGACAACACTGATTCTGCTTGACATTGAGGTTTTAAAGTTTAAATAGAAATATGGCACTCTTCCTCAATAGGAACTTACTCCAATCCAATCAGGAAAGCAGTATGTCTTCAAAATATGACACTCTTCCTCAATAGGGACTAACTCCAATCCAATTAGGAAAGCAGTATGTCTTCAAAATATGACACTCTTCCTCAATAGGGACTGACTCCAATCCAATCAGGAAAGCAGTATGTCTTCAAAATATGACACTCTTCCTCAATAGGGACTAACTCCAATCCAATTAGGAAAGCAGTATGTCTTCAAAATATGACACTCTTCCTCAATAGGGACTGACTCCAATCCAATCAGGAAAGCAATATGTCTTCAAATTCCGTTTTAAGAATATACAATAACAGCTCAATGAGCTAATATCTTGAAGTAGATGACTAAGACATCCACATATTATATAATACAAAACAGTTGCACAACACTTACAGTATGAATAACTATATTGTTATCATAAAAGACACCTTCACAAGCACATGATAATTCTGGTCTTCTAGGACATGCTTGCAATGTCTAGTTGTTATCCTGCCTTTCAGTGCAATGATTGTACAAGCATGTAACAACAATGAAATGGCCTGCAATCCTTATGGCTGGAGACAAACACATTTGAAATGAATACTCCAATGGGATATCTCCAAACATACTTAGATCCACTCAATAGTAAAATATTTAATATTAACTCATTTAAACAGGTCATCTTTCACTACTGGCCACTAATTTACAGTTTGTAGTCATTCAATCATTGAATGTACAACCACGATTTTCTCTGGAAGAAAACTGGCTTATATATAACTAATCTGTGATGGTAACTTATGTGATTGAGCTTTTCCAATGTAGTTTTCCCTGAAACTGTTAGCTGATATTCAACAGTGAACTTTAACCACATTATTTTTGTCTTCTTTTCAAATCTGTGGCAATCCAGACTACATATGATGGTCTTCTTGCTACTATTGCTCTTTGTATATTAGAGATTTCTCAGTTGTAGACTCTCACTAAAAATATCTGCAATCTGTGCAGATGAACATGTAATTCTCTGCTATTATCTCCTTTTATACTTGTTATATCCTTCCTAGAAAAAAATATACATCTAGAGCTGAACAATGCTAGAATGGTTAACCTTTAAATGTACGCACACACCAGACACTATAAAATGAGGTTGAACAGAACATTTACAGAAGATCTTTAAGTGGTTATTAAATCTAGCAGGTGTTTCCATTTTCCTTATAAGAAGGTGTTCAGGTGCTTGTGATGTTTTGCAGGAGTTTTAAATTGTGAGTATATTCTGTTTAATTTGTGAAAGCTCTAATGAATAATAAGAATCATTATATTTACATTTCAATTAATCTTAGCTAATAATATAGATTAAAGGATTTGTTGCACCTGTTCTTCATAGGGATTTTACTAGTTTAGCCTAAATATATACACCTGGAAAAAAGTTAAGCACCCCCAAATATTTTTCAGGATTGCTTATTGAAAATAAGGT